GATCGAAGCATGTTCATAGAGATCAATGAAGCGACAACTGGAAATGTCTCATTTGGAGATGACTCAAAGATACCGGTCAAAGGCAAAGGTAAAATTCTCATACGCTTAAAGAATGGGAGTCATCAATTCATATCCAACGTCTACTATGTTCCTAACATGAAAAATAATATATTGAGCTTGGGACAATTATTGGAGAAAGGATATGACATCCACTTGAAAGAACATAGTCTTTTCTTAAGAGATTGTGGGCATAACTTGATCGCTAAGGTGCCTATGTCAAAGAATAGAATGTTCCTCTTGAACATTCAAAATGATGTGGCAAAGTGTCTCAAGGCCTGCTATACCGACTCTTCGTGGCTATGGCATCTACGATTTGGACACCTCAACTTAGGTAGTCTAGAATGTTTGTCAAAGAAGGAGATGGTGAGAGGCTTGCCTAGTATAAACCACCCAGACCAACTATGTGAAGGATGTCTAATTGGGAAGCAATTCCGAAAAAGCTTTCCAAAGGAATCAACATCAAGAGCGGCAAAACCACTAGAGCTCATACACACGGATGTCTGTGGACCAATCAATCACAACTCTTTTGGTAAGAATAAATACTTTCTTCTATTTATTGATGATTATTCTAGAAAAACATGGGTTTATTTCTTGAAGGAGAAGTCAGAAGTGTTTGAAAACTTTAAGAAGTTCAAAGCCCTTGTGGAGAAAGAAAGTGGTCTTTCTATTAAGGCTATGAGATCTGACCGAGGAGGAGAGTTTACTTCAAATGAGTTCAACAAATATTGTGAAGAGCATGGAATCCGCCGCTTACTAACAGTGCCAAGATTGCCACAACAAAATGGAGTAGTGGAGAGAAAGAACCGGACCATACTTAATATGGTGCAGAGCATGCTTAAGAGTAAGAAGATGCCGAAAGAGTTTTGGGCCGAAGCAGTAGCATGTGCGGTTTACCTGACAAACCGTTCCCCAACAAGAAGTGTGCATGAGAAGACACCACAAGAAGCATGGAGTGGAAGGAAGCCAAGTATCTCTCACCTCAAAGTGTTTGGAAGCATTGCATATACCCACGTTCCAGATGAAAGGAGAATAAATCTCGATGATAAAAGTGAGAAGTATGTATTTGTGGGTTACGACTCAAGCTCCAAAGGGTACAAGCTCTATAATCCAAATAGCGGAAAGATTATCATAAGTCGTGACGTGGAGTTTGAAGAAGAAGATTGTTGGGGTTGGAGTGTTCAAGAAGACAGGTATGATTTTCTTCCTTATTTTGAAGAAGAAGAAGATGAAATGGAACAACCAATGATAGATGAACATATTACACCACTTGCCTCACCGACACCAAGGTTGGATGAAACAAGCACAAGTGAAAGGACACCACGATTAAGGAGCATTGAAGAACTTTATGAGGTAACCGAAAACCAAAATGACATTAACCTCTTTTGTCTTTTTGGTGATTGCGAGCCTCTAAGCTATCAAGAAGCTGTTGAAAATGTAAAGTGGAGAGACGCCATGGATGAAGAAATAAAGTCAATCACAAAGAGTGACACGTGGGAACGTACTACACTTCCACGAGGACACAAAGCAATCGGAGTAAGATGGGTGTACAAGGCGAAGAAGAATGCAAAAGGAGACGTGGAGAAATACAAAGCAAGACTGGTGGCAAAAGGCTATAGTCAATGACAAGGAATTGACTATGATGAGGTATTTGCCCCTGTTGCTCGTCTTGAAACTATTATACTGATCATTTCTTTGGCAGCCCAGAATGAATGGAAGATCTATCAAATGGATGTAAAGTCGGCCTTCTTGAATGGTTTTATCGAAGAAGAAGTTTATATTGAGCAACCACAAGGATATGAAGTAAAAGGGCAAGAAGAAAAAGTCCTCAAGTTGAAAAAGGTGTTGTACGGACTCAAGCAAGCTCCAAGAGCTTGGAATGTTCGAATCGACAAGTACTTTCGAGACAAGAATTTCATCAAGTGTCCATATGAGCATGCACTCTATATTAAAGCGCAAAGTGGAGATAGTTTGATTGTGTGCTTATATGTTGATGACTTGATCTTCACTGGGAACAATCTAAGCATGTTCGAAGAGTTCAAGAAAGACATGTCAAATGAATTTGAGATGACAGATATGGGGCTCATGGCATATTATCTTGGCATTGAAGTAAAGTAAGAAGACAAAGGCATTTTTATCACCCAAGAAGGCTATGCAAAAGAAGTCCTTAAGAAGTTCAAGATGGATGATGCTAATCCGGTTGGCACCCCAATGGAATGTGGCAGCAAGTTGAGTAAGCATGAAAATGGAGAGATTGTGGATCCAACTCTTTACAAAAGTTTAGTTGGAAGTCTACGTTACTTGACAAGTACAAGGCCAGATATTCTCTATGATGTAGGAGTCGTAAGTCGTTACATGGAAGCTCCAACAACAACTAACTTCAAGGCGGAAAAGAGAATCCTTCGATATATCAAAGGTACAACAAACTTTGGCTTACACTATTACTCTTCTAACAATTATGAAATTGTTGGCTATAGTGATAGCGATTGGAGTGGAGACTTGGATGATAGAAAGAGCATTACTGGTTTTGTGTTCTTTATGGGAGATACTGCTTTCACTTGGATGTCAAATAAGCAACCTATCGTCACACTGTCAACTTGTGAAGCCGAATATGTTGCCGCTACATCATGTGTTTGCCATGCAGTTTGGCTAAGAAACTTGTTGAAAGAGTTAAAAATGCCACAAGAAGATCCTATGGAAATATGTGTTGACAATAAATCAACACTTGCATTGGCAAAGAATCCTGTATTTTATGAAAGAAGTAAACACATCGACACCCGTTACCACTTTATAAGAGAATGCATCGAGAAGAAGGATGTGAGGTTGAAGTATGTGATGTCTCGAGATCAAGCTGTCGACATTTTCACCAAGCCAATCAAGTTGGAAACGTTCATAAAGCTAAGGAGTATGCTTGGAGTCACAAATCAAGTTTAAGGGGGGATGTTGAAAGATTAAACTTAATTTGGGCCTAAAATATTATTTGGATTTTTGGGCTTAGTTGTTTTGGACTTAGGTAATTTTAATTAATGTTTCTAGCAAACTCTTGTAATGTTTGGAGTGTCTAGATATTTCTTAGGGTTGTAATATTCTCTAGAATGCTCTTGGAATTCCTAGAGTTAAGAACTCTCTAGAATTAGTGTGTCTAGAGTTCTCCTTAGAGTATTATAAATAGAGATGTAATTCTACACTTTTGCATCAAGAAAAATACAAAGTTCTCTCTTCCATAAATAATTCTTCCACCTATCAAGTTTTTCTTTAAGCCCCTAATATTCCCACACATTTTTCTTAAACACAAAAGGTCTTATTTCCAACACTTTACTCTTGAAATGGAAGTGGAGAATTGTTAAGGATAGGGAGGCTATTTGGAGAAGGGTTTTGAATTTCAGATACCGTGACCCTGGCGTGAAAATGTTCATTAATGATAGAGGTGTGATTAATAGTAGTGACTCTATTTGGTGGAGGGATTTAGTTTCAATGGATTCTGTGGTGAATCATATAGACAGCTGGTTTACTGAATTTACAAATTGCAAAATGCGAAAAAGATCTAGCTCCTTTTGGTTCAGTAGATGCTCGGGGAATCAGTCCCTTAGAGAGGTCTTCTCGAACTCATTTGCGAATGCTGCGTTCAATCTACACTAAATGTACCGCATAATTTTGCATAAAGAGTTTCAATAGATATAATTTTCCTTCGTCAAACAATTGTCATTCAAATATTGTGGTGTGAAGATATGTTCACCGCATAACTCATAGTGTTCATTATCATAATTTATATCAGATAACTTACCGTTATCAATAATCTATACTAAATAATTTGATTATAAATTTTTTTTTTGAACAATTTTTTTTTTTGTTTAGGGAATAACTTACCTTTAAGTAATTTTAAAATATTGTTTTTATGACTTATAGATATGGAGATTATTTTTCAGATATGCGATAAAAATAAAATAAGATATTTGTTTCTGGGTTTCGAGTACTCCCTTGTACTCGATCGTTTCAATTCAAAATTTGCCTATTAAAAAAAAAGTACCGCATAATTTTGCATAGAGTTTCAATCTACACTAAACCACTAATAGAAAAACTCTGTTTTCCTGCGGATTTTGACAATTTTCGCAGAAAACATTTACCTGCGATTCTTCCTGTTACTTTCCGCTCCCAGCTAAAACTTTCGTGGGTAATTAATTTAGCAGATAAAGTCCCAGGAAAATGTCGCAGATAAAATAGATAAATTCGCAGAAAAAGCCGCAGGCAATTGTAAGTTTCGCAGGAAAGGTCACAGCAAACTGCAAATTCGCAGGTAAATTCACAAATAATTTCTCTCTCAGGTTTTTAATTTTTATTATTAATTGTGTTTAATTCATATTTAAAATATTATAGTTACTGTTAAATATCAAAGTAACAATAATAATAATTTTCTTTAAAAGCATTTTCTCATATTTTTTACTTAAAAATAAAAATTAAATTTACATAAAATTTTTGAAATATAATCAAAATTTACAATAAAAATAACAATCAATCACTCTCTGAACAACCTATTTATAGAATACTATGTCATATGTATGACGATAACTACATGACATACATATCTACTCCATCATCAAACTGCATGTTGAATTAAACATTAATGGACTTCGATTACATCATGTTAATTCGACTCTGTCGAATTCTGAAGCTATACGAGTTTTAAATTCGATCCAATACTAGCTTATGAATCTAAAGCTACATCAACTTTATGATCTTTGAATTGTGTGTCAAACACTTGGCTTTTAAGTTGAAATATCTAGAAACACCATTTTCCTTCCACGAGTCCAGGATTTCTTGAGACGCCTTTTCTCCAGCCTTTGTAGCTTTGTAAGCTTTTAGAATAGGAAGAATGATATTTTCAGTACCAAGCTCAGAAACTCCATTTTCTAATGGAGAGATTTCCTCCATGCAGACTAATGTACTCACTGGATCCTGCAACATTGAAATATATGATAAATTGTTCAAACAGTAAGATAGAACTGATTAGAATATCAAGCAAGTGCATTTTACAATTGACTGGCTTTCCACGCTACTGACATCTTGTTCGAGTTTTGAAGTGATGTTTTCTTATCAAATGTTGCGCTACTGGCAATGAGAGCTTCAATTATTTCATTACCCTTAGCACCCTGTCTGCATAAAAAGAATAGCATAATTTCTCACTGTTGAATCCCAAGCATAGAACCGAAGTACACAAAAAATGCAGGAAACTTTATCATTCTTTTTCATCAAGTATGAAGTGAGGAGACAACAATAACGTTGAAAATCCAAATACTCACTTGATTAGTTTGTTAATTTTAACCCAAGAACACTCACTTGATGCATCAATAATGATGAATTTGATGTTATTTTCTTCTTTACCATTTTCACCTTTTTCTTTTTCAATCACCAATCGCTCAATCCTTTTAAACAAAAGGCACATGTATAACAAAAGATTGCAGAAATATTTGAAATTTCGATGCGCAAATTTTAAGTAAATTTATATAACAAGAAAAATGCAGGAAAAAAACAAAAAACATATATACCTTTCCCTTATAGCACTTGCATTTGCAAAACAAAGCCAACCAGATCTTATACAAACAACCAAAACTCCAGGCATGTTAATCGCCATCGGATATTGTTCGACGTCACCAAATGCATTAGTCCCCGGAAACCTTCCAATAATTGCTACACCAGGTTGAATCGATATCAAAATTATCTTCGCAAACGATATCATGACCCCAATGACAAGCCCTATTTCGACAGATGAAAACAACACTCCTAAGAATGCTCCAGCACAAGCAAGAAAATCTAGTTTATCAACTTTCCAAATTTCATATGCTTTTTTATAATTAATCAGTCCTGGTACAGCTGAAAGAATTATTGCTGCCAGCATTGCTTTTCCCAATATCACTACAAACAAGAGTTCATGGTTGTTATTCTTCCCATCCTTTGATTGTTCCACCATGTTCAGAATGATAATCCCGTTTTTATGTGCTCGGATAGAGTAGATATGTTGTATATCGCAAATAGAGTTACAGGAATCTACATACTGAGTTCCTGTCAGAGCATCATTTACACATTATTGAAGAAAGATTGAAACAAACAAATATTCTATATATAATCTAAATCATGCTACTAACCTTGTTAGGCAAGAAACTGGAATTGGTAATAATGCAATAGGCAGGTAGAAGGCCATAACAAATTTCAGGGAGAGATCTTAAGGCCCAGTTAGTAATCCAAATATATGCAAAACACTCTCTGAATTGGAGCTTACCAAATAGGGTACCGAAAATCGGACAATGCTTTCTAAGAAAGATATCAAACAATCCGGAAGACCATCTCTTATGTTGGGCCATTTGGCCTAAGTTATCTTGCGGTGAACAACCCATAAAGGCTATCGGGTCTGGTGAACAAAGCTCAGATCTCCATCCTTTTGTGTGAAACTTAAGCCCGGTTAATACATCCTCTGATGTTGATCCATATAACCATCCCACCTAATATACCAAAAGTTAACATAAGAAACACTAACTAGCACATAAATACACATCAGACGCAGACGCAACTGCAGAGACTAATCCTCTGAGTTAAACATGACTACAATGAATAACAAAACCATGTTGCATTATCAGAAGTGAGTTCGAATTTCTGACCTATTTACCCCAAGCAGTATTGTATTAATAATCACAACTAGCAACTTTTCTTGCATCTTCAAGATCAAGAGATTTGTAAAGATCGAATGTAGTCCCTTTCAAAATATGAGTAGCTGAGGCATTAAATCCCTTTGAGGTTCCAAATATTTGCCTTGTTTCTTTTTCTGATAACAATGTTCCTGCACAAAAGATTACTATATCATAATAATATTCATTTTGATATAACCAAAAAACATAGTAAATATATCTTAATACCTTTGGTGAAGCCACGACCCTCGTTCGTATTTTGAATGTCATGATTAGGAGAAAGACCATAAATAACTTTTCTTCTATGAAAACAATTTGTTCCTGCATATATAATCCCTTAAAGTCCAGCAAATCCACCTCCTTTTGAATCCAACAAAATGCAGAGTGCATGTAGTACAATCTTAGGGTTATTCACATACATGTCACAATCTAAGTTCAGGATAAACGGAGCATTTGTCATCAATCCAGAGATTTTGGTCTGTACACAACATAAATCATTCGAACTTTTAGAACAAAATCAAGTAAAATGTATAAAATTTCTAACCGTGTATTTGATATTTGTCTTACCAAGACATTCATTGCACCAGCTTTGTGATGATGCGAGTGCTTTGAACTCTTCTCTCTAGAAATGTAGACTATGCGAGGCATTGGATCAGAACGACCTTTGTTTTCTCTAATCACCTGTCAATAGAAATACATTCAGAATGTACTAATGTATTTCAATTATACTTTAGATTTAAAAATTCAATATTGTAAACTTGTAATTCACTAATATGGAATTATAATTTTATTAACCATGATAACTTTCATGATTTCTACTTCTCAACAATTAGTGTTCACTCCTATTCTAACTTGTCTAACAAACATAGCCTATTCTAATTTGTCTAACAAACATAACTTATGTATCAATGAAATGAATATACTATTATTAAAGAAGAACACATAAATTCAATTGCAGAATAAAAAACCACATATTCTTTGTTATGCCCTCCACACTGTGTCTGGCCACAGCATGTCCAACCTAATTATCAAGCTGGAAAGTGTTAGCTTTTGTCTCCTAAAAATACTAAAAACACACTAATTACCAGACACGCTAAATCAAATATTAAAAACACCATAGACATTTTATCAAACATTTAGAGTGCAATAAAGGAATTATAGAAAAAATATTAAAAACACACTGAGGCATTTCATCAAACATTTAGAGTGCGATAAAGGATCTTATGTTTTGCTCGTAAGAGTAACTACTTCTTTATATAGAAAGATTCATAATTCACATTTATTCAAATTCAAATTCTTAACATGTAAAATTTTTAACCATAAGAGTAACTATAATTGAAGGTAAGATTAAAAATAAACAAAACCTTAGAAATAAACAAAACCTTTAGCAGTGTATACTCTCAAATCACGATCTAACCGAAAAATATTATGACTACTGAGGAGATGAAGTAACTTCGTTGGTAGTTCCCAAATGAAAACACTTGCCTCAAATGAACGGAGGAGGAAGAAGAGTCGGTGGAGATGAATCAAAACCCCGATCTACTACCGTTACAAGCAACGACGATCGAAGACGGAAGGAATCGTGCCGGAGGCGTTAGGGTTTGAGGGAAAAAGAAGCAATCTCGTTTCTTCTGTGTTTGGCTTTGTAAAAAAAAAAAGAAAAGAAAAAAACGTGTATCCAATTTGTTTCAAAATTCTTGATTTTTTATTAACTAAGAACATAAATAAAGAAAATAAGCCATTTTTAAAATTATTAACTATTCTCCATCTTGTTTAAAATTAATACTAATTATTTAATTATTCTTTTAATAAATATTTTAAAAAATTATTTTAAACATTTTTAAAAGAGACTTTTTTTCTATTTTAAGAAAACTATTTATATTTTAAATTTGATTGAATACTGATACCCTCTTTAATAAAATATTTAAAATAAACTTTCAACTTTAATAGCATAATAATTAAATTGGCTAATAAATATTATATCTTATTATATAAATAAAAATAACATATTAAAAAAAATATACATATACATTATTTTAAAATTTAATTAAAATATGAATAATTAGTGATAAATAATTATAATTTTATTTATTAAGAGTAAAAATATAACTAATAAAAATTAAAAATAAAACAAAACTAGTACTAAAAATCCGCAGGAAATATCGCAGAAATACCTGCGACTTTTCCAGAGAATTTTGAAGTTTCATAAATAACCAGTTCCTGTGAAAGAAATCGCCGTGAAATCCGCAAGAAAAGTGATATATCATCTTAAAGTCATAAATCGCAGATAAAATTTCAGGAGTTTCTGCAAAATTTGTTGCGACTCAAGTTTAGTAGACGATGACTTTTAATTTAAATTCGCAGGTAAAGTCGTAGGAATACCAGCGGATATTTTTCCGCAGGAAATTCCGCCGGTAGTACCTTTATTTCTTGTAGTGGATGTACCGCATAATTTTGCATAAAGAGTTTCAATATATATAATTTTCCTTCGTCAAACAATTGTCATTCAAATATTGTGGTGTGAAGATATGTTCACCGCATAACTCATAGTGTTCATTATCATAATTTATATCGCATAACTTACCGTTATCAATAATCTATACTAAATAATTTGATTATAAATTTTTTTTGAACAATTTTATTGATGTTTACGGAATAACTTACCTTTAAGTAATTTTAAAATATTGTTTTTATGACTTATAGATATGGAGATTATTTTTCAGATATGCGATAAAAATAAGATATGTATAGATACCACTAATGTATTCTCAACTACACATAAATTTGATACACGAGGAGAGGTGAAAAGGTGAATTGAGGTTGAAATTAGATATAAGGTGACCATTATCGCAACTCGTTCAGGTGAAAAGGTGAATTGAGGTTGAAATTAGATATAAGGTTACCATTATCGCAACTCGTTCTGAGAGAGAGAGAGAGAGAGAGAGAGAGAGAGAGAGAGAGAGAGAGAGAGAGAGAGAGAGAGAGAGAGAGAGAGAGAGAGAGAGAGAGAGAGAGAGAGAGAGAGAGAGAGAGAGAGAGAGAGAGAGAGAGAGAGAGAGAGAGAGAGAGAGAGAGAGAGAGAGAGAGAGAGAGAGAGAGAGAGAGAGAGAACAGATTAATCTTTGATTGTGATAAAGGTGGAAAACACAATGAAGCGAATAGTTTAACACAATATGCTACTAAAAAAATTGTTATAAAATCAGATCAACATCGTCTAAAGATGGTTCAGGATGGAAGATTGATGTAAAATATGTACTTTACAACCACGATTAACATAATTTGAAGGTCATGCATTTGTTGGTTTTCTAAGTTGAGATGAGAGGTAATATGTTGTTGATTTGACAAAGCGTCACGTTCCATCCAAACACATATTGTTGTCCATGCAAGAGTGAAATCTAGAGAATGTTACCCGGGTCACAAAATATATATAAACATAAGAGTCAATTACAAAAAGATATCATATGCCCTAGAACATAGATATAAATGTGTTTAGTTGATAGAAGATGCAAATTATGTTTACTAGAGTAGAAGAATAGATGAATAAGTTGTTGCGAGAGATATTTTCCTGACCCACCCAAATTCAGTCAAGTCGTTGAATATTTTTTCTATTATGTTAATTATGGAATCATATAAACGATAACCAAATATAGACAATCTTTGTTTGAAATTGTATGTATGATGTTAGTTAGTTGACATATGCTATTTCATTTTCTTATATGGACACTACAAGAAAAACGATGGATTGCGATGGTTATTTTGGCAGGTTACGACGGTTAAAACCCCCATCAATTACATTCTATGACGGTTGTAGTACCGTCGCAGAAACGTGTGTCCCCAGGCTGTTTAGCGACGGATGCCAAAACCGTCACTCCAACCGTCATTATATTTCACGACGGGCTGGAACTGACCTAAACTGGAGATGGCGACGGTTAAAGACCGTCGTTACTAGCCTTTTGATTTTTGTTTTCATTGTTGATTGTGACGGTTTAAAACTGTCGTGAACTCTATTTCATGACTGGTTGGAACTGACATAAACTGGAAATGACAACAGTTAAACACTGTCGTGAATATACTTTTGATTTTTGTTACCATTATTGATTGTGACAGTTTAAAACTGTCGTGAATATGATATCTTGACGGTTCAAATCGTCGTAATTTAATTTATAAAATTTTAAATATAATTTATTTGGTAACGATTTAAAGCGCTACTAATTTCGGCTAAATATATAAATTTGATAAAAAAAAACTATCCAATGATTATATGTTAACTAGTACATTCAAAATATAT